TATACATATATAATTTTTTTTTAACCCTCAAATATTATTACATTAAAGGGAATAAACCACCAAAAAGTGCTTTTGGATGAGAAAAGGAAGCCTTTCCATAGAAATAAAAAATTTAAATATGTAACTTTAGTGGTTTTTAAATGTACTGAAAAAGATTTGGTTTTTTTAACCATGCGATAAAATATATACAAAACATATATACTGTAAATACACAGTACTGTATTGTAGGCTATTTCAGATCCGTAGCCCATAAAAACAATAGAGGAAAACTTCCTCTATTGTTTTTATGGGCAACGATATATATATATTTTTTTAAATAAAAATTTTTGGCGCTGTTGGACAGAAACCCCCTGCATCCAAATTTGGTCAATTTCCTAGTTTTTCCCACATCGATACTATTGGACAACCACGTGGGTCTGTTACTTTTACAAATTACACTGGTCAACATTTTACTTTTTTTTTTCCAGTCATCTCTGATTAAAATTTGCCGTTGACCCATTTTATGAACCGATCCCAAAGTGTTGAAAATTGGTCACATAACTTTCAAATTCCCAAATACGCTGTTTTATTTCATTCCATTTAACAATGTTTTTTCAGAATGTTTCTTTACAAAGTGCAATACTGCAGGTTTCTATTTATACTAAAACATGCTCTAAAAAATCTTGTTTTTGTGGAGCTGGAACAGCTTAATGGCATTTCCATTCATTTAAATAGGGAAAGATGCTCCAATGTACATAAAAATGAAGAAATATATTTTAGCTGACTAATTACAGGTTGAAAATCCTTCATGCCTTTCTTTGGCTACGCTGCAACAAAAAAGTGAGAGTTCACGCCGATAGCCTCTTGTCAATGCTCGTGACCTTTACTTGCCTTCACTCACACCTGTTTGTACTTGCTGTTATTTTTTTAATTTTGTGCCCATTTCTCCTCAGGACAGCTCTCACAATTCTCATATAAGAAGCTTTATGTTGAGTCCCAGTAGGAAATCTCCTTAACGTGTCACACAAAAAGGATTTATTGTTAGCCAAGCAGCACTTACATGAGGCTGATGGGAGGGGGTGGGGGGCACTCAGGGTCTCAAGGGGGGTCCGTTCAGGCCTTCTGGGTCCACACGCAATGTGCGCTTTGGGGTATCATCCCCTCCTGCTTCTCCTGAAAGGTGACGCTTATACTCATGAGTCATTCAAGCATAGCCACCAACACTAAAACTCCTACAGTAAAAATATTTGGCTTTCCCTTTGTTTTGCACTGGCGTTTCTCGCCGCTCTCCTCTCGTCGCCGCTGGTCGTCCGGGCGACAGAGTCAGCGAGACATTTCTCCCCTCCTCTCTCTCGTTCTCTCTCTCTCGTGGCTTTGTTCTGAGTGGAAGGCAGGGAAGGAGTGTACCAAATCATTTATGTACACACTGACAGCAGAGAGCACACAAGAATATGATGGGAATGCAGAAAAAAAAAAAAGCTTCACATGGTTTCATAACCAGATTCAACTGATTAAAGAGGGTAAAGATGAGCTGTTTAGTGGGGATGGTACAGGAGAGCACCCTACAACCCTCCACCCCTTGGTATCTTGGCTGAGTTGGTACCATCCAGTCCGGTCGTGGTTGAAGCGATGGCGCGCTTATAAAAGGATGATCAGAATGATTGCCTATAGTGGGAAACAAAGTGTAGGCAGTTGGGCAGAATTATGTGGAATAAGAGTTTATTAGCAAGCGGTTCATTTCATGGTGTGTGTGTGTGTGTGTGTGTGTGTGTGTGTGTGTGTTCCTTGTCGTGGCCCCGCATTTCCCTGCAGGGCCTCTCATCTAACATTAATGACTCCACATAAGCAAACTATCCATCAGCTCTTTTCTCAGCCTTCCCTCCCGCGGATCTGCTTGACATTGAGTGTAATGTTATTTATCATCTCCATCAGTGGTTCTCCATTTTTTAACAGAGGAGCACCACCTGAAAAAAATGTTTGAAAACATAGAAGCAACCCAAAATACAGTAGCATAGTAGGCCAAAGTGTTCATCAAAAATGAGCACATTGAATTTCATACAGCAGGTTGTTCTGACTCAGCTATTTGGTTGAACTTGAGTCACTCTACGAGTGAGGATTTACTGTACAGCACTGGCAATTTTAAATATTTTAAATTTTTAATATTTAAATCATCACTGCCACTGACAGCTACATACGTCAAAAATTCATTTTAACTGTATAGACGGTGAATGAGTTCAAAGCTAAGATTGACTATCTCGAATTAACCTCGTAAATACCAATAATGGTTCTCTGACAGGTCGTAATCATTTTTCAATCGTTGGAATTTTAATTCAACATATTATTATAATTATTGTTAATTAACAGATGGCACTTTCAGAACTCTTCTACAAAAGCTTTGTGCCTGCGACCGAATTCCAGCCGTCGAGATGTCCAGTACGAACTCGAGTATGATATTGTTTTCTTGTAAGCGACTGTAACGTTAAGCAGTTTTAGGAAAATACAGTAGGAATAGAAGTATAAGTATGAATAGAAGTACTAAAGTATTTATATTTTACAATGTGGTGCCAAAACACTTTCAAATGGACACATGAAAAGATGCACTAAGCACCATGTGTGCATGTGGTTCTCCATTTTTTAACAGAGGAGCACCACCTGAAAAAAATGTTTGAAAACATAGAAGCAACCCAAAATACAGTAGCATAGTAGGGCAAAGTGTTCATCAAAAATGAGCACATTGAATTTCATACAGCAGGTTGTTCTGACTCAGCTATTTGGTTGAACTTGAGTCACTCTCCAAGTGAGGATTTACTGTACAGCACAGGCAATTTTAAATATTTTAAATTTTTAATATTTAAATCATCACTGCCACTGACAGCTACATACGTCAAAAATTCATTTTAACTGTGTAGACGGTGAATGAGTTCAAAGCTAAGATTGACTATCTCGAATTAACCTCGTAAATACCAATAATGGTTCTCTGACAGGTCGTAATTATTTTTCAATCGTTGGAATTTTAATTCAACATATTATTATAATTATTGTTAATTAACAGATGGCACTTTCAGAACTCTTCTACAAAAGCTTTGTGCCTGCGACCGAATTCCAGCCGTCGAGATGTCCAGTACGAATTCGAGTATGATATTGTTTTCTTGTAAGCGACTGTACCGTTAAGCAGTTTTAGGAAAACACAGTAGGAATAGAAGTATAAGTATGAGTAGAAGTACTAAAGGATTTATATTTTACAATGTGGTGCCAAAACACTTTCAAATGGACACATGAAAAGATGCGCTAAGCACCATGTGTGCATGTGTGTGTGTGTGTGTATCCGTCGTCAATAAAGTCCCCACTCCGTACATTGTCCTTCACCGAAGTTTAATGGCCTCCAGGAGTAAAACATTAATCACAAATATTGGCAGGCAAGAACTCAGAGGCAGTCCACGCATTGTGAATAATTTACAGTGAAATCACACAAAATTCCCAATCCTTCATACCAGCTCCTCGTTTGCATTCCCACCGCATGCAAAACATACACACAACCCCTTCACATAACGTCCCTGATTTGGAGGATGGCGCCCTTTCACGGTCCGCTTAAGGTACGTATTTAAGAATGATCCTTAACACCGGGTTTGGCTGACAAATCAAGCAACATTTATACATCGAGTAGTCAAAGAAACGTGTCGGGTCATGTTTTGCTTTGGCTGACAAATCAAGCAACATTTATCTTATTGTCGAGTAGTCAAAGAAACGTGTCGGGTCATGTTTTGTTATAGTAATTCTTAGAGGGACACGTTGGCAAATGTGGAAAGTGGGAGGAAATACTGTATTGTACTGCATGTTGAGTGTATTCAGATGAGTACGATTGGACTCCTCAGTTGTAAGCAGCGAAGAGCTTCTCTTTCTTCTAAGAGTTTTGTTGTTTTTGTTTTTTTTTCCTTTTAAAGGATGATGGACAGTTGAATTAATGTCAGCTCCACTCAATCACAGCGAAAAAATGCGCGGCGTCATTCTTTCTATATGGGAGAAGACCGTATTCGGTCTCAGGGAGGCATGTGCCAAACTTGGGGGGCAATACTGCACCAAAATCAACTTGCTCTGACATGTGAGCTATAAAAAGCAAGGAGGAAAATGATGTCGAGCAAAACTGTGACAAGGAATGTGAGCCTTCCATGACGAGATTCACACCACGGCTGCCTCACGCCGCTCAAAGTGAACATTGGAATAAAACAGTAGGATTCCTTCTCTGGCATATAACAACCACTAAAAGCTTGACCAGTGAACACATACTGACAATGCTAACCTTTAATCTTCAAGTTTTTTTGATCGTGTCTCATACAAAATCAAATCCCTGTCAGTAAAAGCTTGATGCTCAGTTTTTCAAAGTTGCACCTATTACAGTTGTGAAACAGAAACATGTACCAAATGAGATAGATATTGTACAAAATAAATAGGTTTCTTTCCCTGAAGAAAAAAAAAAGATAGCTTGACATAACAAACGAGAGTCCTAAAAAGGTGCTCCTAAACTACCTGTAACAAGAATAGAATATCAAAATCAATGGGTGGTCTTGCCCTGACATAGTGGAAATTGCACCTCCTCTATTTGAACTTGGACAAGTAACAAAAACCTCGTGCTCTGACATTACTTTCTCAAACATTTTGGATTGGACCACGATACCAAATCAACAGGTGATTTTGTGTCCTTGTGGTCAGCAAGATGTGACCCAGCAATTGGGTTCAGAATGGAGTGCAATTCACAATCGCAGATGCAGCACCTGCTCAACGTCTGTTGGCCATTTTTGGACTTACAAAACTTAAATATTACAAATGTAATAATGTACACGTATGACAAGCAGACACACACATTGCCTGATAAAATGACACAAAGGAGTTTGAGACTTTGTTCACATTGCCAGTGCAGTGACAAAACATTTTAGGCCTGAGTGAGGAGCCCTGGTGGTTCTGCTTTAGGGCAGCGGTGGATTGAAATATGCTTAAAAAAAAATAATAATAAAGTTCATTGGTCCAGGAGAAATCTCACACACACACACACACACACACACACACACACACACACACACACACACACACACACACTAGCAGACAGATGTAGAGAAAGTGAGGAGTGTGTGCTTCCTTTAGCTACCACAGATGTGTCTCTCTGATCTCAGAGATGATGTGATTGGCCTTCTTAAGCGCCTGAGAGAAAGACAAAGAGTTGAATAAATGCCTTGTAGCCAAAGAGGAGGGGGGAAAAAAACTAATTAAAAAAACACACGTGTGTTAGATTTACCTGCAGCATTTGAGCGACCTCCGTCCTCTGCTGCGCTGTGTCCTGAGACTCAATGAGCAGGTCTTGCAGGAGCGTCTGCTTATACAGCTGACCCACCAGCTCGCTTTGCAGATGCTCCTTGACATAGTTCACCAGGAAATGCATGACGGTCTTGGGCACGCTGCGCACGCAGACACACTAATAAGTTATGGCAATTTGACAGACAAGCCGGGGGGAAGCCGAACACTGGCCGGGGGTGGGGGGTCTGACCTGTCCTGGATGGTCTTGCGGACAATGAGGAAGTAAGACTTAATGAGGCGCTGGATGACCTCGCAGTCCCTTTGCTCCTTGGAACTCAGTTTCCGGGACACGGGCACTGCCTAGAAGAGAAGATCAAGTCAAAAACATGCAGTGGTACAGTAACACTTGCTTTGAGTTGACTCCAAAGTCAGCTTCAGCCACTTCGCCACTAGATGGCGGCAGACAACTACCATAGGTTGTGAAAGTGAACGTGCAGTTAACTGTTGAGTTTCGGGCTGGAATTATCCATGTTTTAGTTTTAAGAGTCGATTTTGAAAACAGGAAGTGAATTGGCCTGTGCAGAGGGAGCAAAACTAGCAAACTCTTATCGGTCAACCCGAAGCAGCACCACACTTGGTGTGTAGGACAGAAGCAGCTTGGACAGATACAGAGACCGAGGAGGAGGAGGACGCATAGATTGTATTAGTTACCCACAACCAGCAGAGGGCATCGTTACTTGAAGCCCAAAAACTAGCAGCCTCAACAGAAAAGCTTTCACTTTGTATTTAAAGTAACAATTTTATTGTTTGTTTGAAGGCATTGTTGCAAACGTGACGTTCAAAGGTAGCATACATTCAATTCATCAAAAAAGGTGTAAGGGTGACTGCTACGTAAAATGTTTGCCATCACTCACTGTGTCAAGGAGGTTAATGGGCTGCCCTTTGCTGGGGCTGCCAAAGCCCGCCGCTGGGGCTTTCTCCTCCGCAACCTTGTCATTCTTCCAGCGCTTGGTTCCATCCAGGCCCTCTGCCTAATGGTTACAGGAAGTCAGTCAGGGGGAACTCTCGTACGGATATGAGATGATACAATCAACTACCTGCTGACTGTTGACTGATGCCGAGACCTGCGCCGCATCCGTGAAGTCCGGATGCTTCGTGTTGATGTAGGCAAGCTCGATGGCTACTAAATTATGCACCTGGCAAAAGAGCAGAAGTGGAAGTGATTTTAAAAGCAAGTGATAATTTCATCCATTTACCGATCCGCGGGGGGGGTGCTGGAGCCTATCCCAGCTGTCTTTGGGCAGTAGGCGGGGGGACACCGTGAACCGGTTTGCCAGCCAATTGCAGGGCACACAGAGACGAACAACCATCCACGCTCACACTCACACCGAGGGCCACTTTAGAGTGTTCAATCAGCCTGCCATGCATGTTTTTGGAATGTGGGAGGAAACGGGAGTACCCGGAGAAAACCCACGCAGGCCCGGGGAGAACATGCAAACTCCACACAGGGAGGCCGCAGCTGGAATTGAACCTGGTCCCTCTGCACTGTGAGGTCGACGCGCTAACCACTGGACCACCAGTGTTAATTTTTAAAACAACTAAAAGGAGGATTACCATTTCGTTGGCAATTGGCAGACGCTTTCTCAGTAGCCCGGTCACGACTTCCACAATGGAATCATGAAGTTTGGGGAATCTCAGAAGTTCCTGGAAAACATCAGAAACAAACACGATCGCCATACGACAGACCGTGTCGACTATAATTACTGTTGCGATAGCTTGACTTAGTTTCATAACTGATAATTGGACTTGATTTGTTCATTTGTGACTTTAGAACAGTTCAAGAGCGCTTTCTCATCATTAACGACCTCCGCCCGAGATAGAAGCGTAACGACCAACCAAAAGAGATCGAGTTCATTTATGGGGGCTTGATCTCAAATACTGTGTTCCCTGTATAGGGGGGGGGGGGGGGTCCTCATATTACCTGCGTGCTAAAGGATGAGCAGTGCTGGATGATCCTCTGCAGCTCTTCGTGAACCAGCTCCACACAGCGCAGGCTGGGCTCCTCCAGACGCTTGATTTGACGCTTCACCAACAACTCAAAGGACACCTCAGGGACAAAAAGTGCAGGACGTGGACCCTGAAGAGCAAAAATACACACATGTTTTATTAGTAACCGCCACCCCACCTCCCCATTAATGTGAACACATCATACAAGTAAGTGGGAACGTACGGTAGCATTGCGGATGGCAGTGAGGATATCGAGTTCTGTCAGTCCTCCAAGAGGGTCGATGGACTGCAGAGTGCGGCCGAAGGTTTCGTGGAAGATGTAACAGATGCGAGCTCCGCCACAGCTGCAAGGCAATATGAATCCCTTCATTTCATGGGACTCATGTACAAAATACGGAACTCCTATTGAAAGTTATAAACACGACGATCACTTGAATTATTTATTTGGCCCAATTTGTCTTCTGGATGTCCTTCCTGACACAAAGCACCCATTATTTTAAATCCGGTTTTAGGAGTGGGAGTGGTTGACTATTGAGACACTGACCAGGAATCGAACCTGCGTGCGTGAAAGGCAGAAGCATAATACGACACCACCGGTGCTATTTGCTCAAAGGAATTTGATGCGCTAAGAGCGGACTGACAGACGAGATTGTTGACACCGTCGTGCAAGCGACCGTTCTCGCACTCACAGCTCAGAGGTTTGAATATAGCGAGCCGTGCCCTCGATTGTGTTGCAGTAATCGCTGGCGAACTTGGTGACAATCTGCAGCAGGGTGGCGCTGTGGTCCTCCACCGGCTGACCGTAGCTGTTGAGGCGTGACTGGTACTGGGCGCTGAGCACAGTCACGCGGGTCTTGAGGTCCGGCAGGCAGTCTCGGATGTGGTGCATGAGCAGCCTGCTGAGCGTTTTGGCCAGGTAGCGCGAGCCGGCGCGGGAGGCCAGCGACGGGTAGTGGCGCTGAAGGAAGGCCTGCTCGTCCTTCATGCTGTCGCCCAGGCTCTTCTGCGTGTTGATGTCATGCTGGCTCCTGGAAGAGTCAAGTCATGAATTCGCGGGCAATTGTGGGGCGTTGGGGTCATCGTTATTGCTAACCTGTTAACCACCCCGATGATCCCGAGCCTGACTGGAATGACTCGACCGAGGAGTACCTCCAGTGCGTCTGTCCCCGCGTCCATCAAATCCAGCTTGCTGACAACAAGCAGAGTCCGTCGACCTGATGGGACACGAGAACGCAATGGAAGGCAATAATTCCCAATCCCGCCGCATACAATACGAATTTCACCTAATTGGTCTGAAATGATTGAACACAGCTACGACTATTGGAAACATTTGGGAGATTTAGCACCATCAGCTGCTTTGGCATGTGCACTACAGCTTGTGAACACGTTTTAGTTGTGCTCATAATAAGATGACGAGACCAGCAGCTGTCATCACCTAAAGTGGCTCGTGTCCTACATTTCAGCATGTTACGTAACGCAAAAAAAACCAACGTCGAAGCGAAAAAATGTGAGTGGCTGCTGCGCGTCATATCTCTCACCATCTGGATCGACCTCACGAGCCAGTTTCAGAGCATCCGAGGTGGCCAAGTCAGAGTTGGCGGCGGACACCGAGAGGATGAGGGAGTTGGGATTGGAGATGAAGGACAAGATCATCTCCTGCACTTGGGACTCGATGTCCTCGGGCTGGTCGCCGACAGGGACCTGCGGCCACAGCGAGCAGCTCGAGTTCATCACGTGAGCTTCGGTGATGGATGCGAATGTGTTAACACGTGACTTTACCTTTGTGATGCCGGGTAAATCGACAAGGGTCAGATTGAGGACTTTGGGGGAGAAAATCTTCAAATGTATGGGCTCGGGAGCGATTCCCTGGTGGACACGGAAGCAAGAGTCAAAATAACAATCAAGCTATTCTATCTGAACCTGGTAAAGACACAATGGGCGGCACGGTGAACAACTGGTTCACTGGGATCGGCTACGGCACGCCCGCGACCGTTTGTGAGTATAAGCGGATTAGAAAATGGATTGATAGACTGGTAAAGACACGAGCACAGACGTGTTACACCAGTGAATGAAGATCTTATCCTCACGAGGGTCGCGGCCGTGCTGGGGCCGATCCCAGCCCTTCGCAGAGATTAAAAACATATCGCGCATCATGACAGCGCTTCCTGCCCACCTTGTTGTTGCCTGAAGAACGTTCGGTCTCTGCCTCAATTTCCCGGCGAATTTCCCCAAAATCCGTGAACACCTTTTAAAAGAATACAATGAAGAAAAGCTCAAATGTCCGGCACGGAGATCAGCAGCTGGCAGCAAACCTGATTCTTGCAGTGCAGGAAGGTGCCCCATTCTTCAGCTTTGACACCTAATGAGAAAAATGTAATTGAATCGTTTAGAGTCAAAAAAAAAAAAAAAAAAAAAAGGAATACAGGCGAAGTCACTGGCAACAACAACATGAGCTAAACCTGCCTAACCAAATGAGATCAAATACAGAAGCTCTATGTAGTCTGTTTTAACAAAGAATGAGACCATCAACAATGTTTGATATTATGCTTGCAGTTGCCCAGTGTACTGTTAAGACCAAATGCGACAGAGACAGAAGCAAGGAAGAATACAAGCACAGAGCAATTTGAAGAGACCTGGGTAGTTGTTTTGTGCAGTTTGTTTAACCCCATTTCCTGGAAAGCATGACAAAAAAAGAAGAGGAAAAAAGAGAGTGTTAGTACAAAAAGATGAAAGTCGTAAAAGAAATATCAAACAGTGAGCAATTACGAAGTGACAAGATAAAAAGCTACTCCAAACAGGAGGAAAACTATACAACAAGATGAGTATCATGAATTGACAGAATGTTTGTCAAGTGTAATTCTGTAACATTCTCTCAATTCATCTGCTTTATGATGACTACACGAGAGACCATTTTCAGTTTTCCGCCGCTCCTCCAGAGGTGCAACGTTGACAAGCTGCAACACCAGCGGTCGTCTGGTGACGATCCCCGAGCCTCGGGGCAGGAAATCACGTCCAACCAGACTCTCCAGCACCGAGCTCTTCCCGCTACTCTGTTTGGAGACAAGTCACCATACCACAGTGACACTTGCACGGGCACCACCTCTTGACTCATCGCTTCACAGTTATAGGATTCGTATGACATACACGCCACCCAACAGAGCTGAATGAAAAATTCTGCTTTTGTACTGCTCACGCTGGTATTTTGCCATTCATGTAGCATTCATATTGAAATTAAGAAAACTAGTTGCCAGGCTATGTTGTTTAAGACTTAAAAAAATATAAATAAAAATCAGATTCTGCCTTTTTCCACATCCTGACCAAAATCTGATGTATGGCTCAGCCCCCTTTCTGATTTTTAGTAATCTGTATTTTTTTTGCAAAGTATCTTTTGCAGACTAAAAAAGGAGTAGCGATGCAAACTTGGAGAACAGTATAAATTTAACGACCGTATATGTTTGGTATCGTCGGTATAGTCGGTAAAAAGAAAAGCACTGCAAACCGCTGACAGATTTTTATATTATAAACCGCAGTCACAGTAATTCGCATCTTGCACCCTACACCCTGAATGGAACATGTAGAACTGGATGGTGACAAATGAACAAAAATTGTCATATTTATATATGAATATGGCACCAAAGTTTCCGATTTGGAGTAAAATTTCCCCAACTTTACTTTCCATGGAAATTTAGCAAGATATTCCACCCCTTTGCAAGAGCGCCTTACGTGATGACCAGTAAATGTACACGAAAAGGGAAGCATCTCACCTGAGATCCGACCACGACGATTTGAGGCAGATGAATGATCTCTGCGCCCACTGTGAGGAAAACCTCTTGTAAACGGTTGATGGTGGGAATCAAAGTCTCCATCCTGCTTTCAAGAGTAGAGTGGACTCACTGAGCTGGAGACAGAAATTTAGTAAAACGCGCACTCGTAAGCATGTTGAAAAAAAAATCACAGTGCAATAAGAGCAGGGAAGAATTTCACGGAACTATCAGGAGTGGTGCTGATGAGAGGGCTCAGCAGCCCTGCAGCACATCGTCCAGCCAAGCGCAACGATTTTTAACACCCCTACATGTTTACATTTTCTACGACAGTATTGACGGACTGTGTTACAAATACTTACATTGACGCGACGTCAATATGACATCGCAATTAGACGATAAATGGCGTCAGAAGAAGGCCGACGGGGCGCCTATATTCACATCAGCTAACGTTAGCTTGCTACGACCGCAGCCAGGAAGTGATAGGTTGTCCTAGCATTGCGGTTAACCGTGGTAACAAAACGAGCTCGTCTCTCACCTACCGTCGTACAACGTCAATATCCCGTCTCATCCGACGTGTCGATCCGTCATAGTTCGTAGAAATAACACACAGAGTTTAAATACGTTCGTTTCAGGTTCCAAAACGACATCCGATCGCCGATTGGGTTGATCACCTATTGGCTGTAACAGCGGTAGTGTTCGTTAATCTGATTGGTCGTTAAAGACGAAACGCAACCTCAGGCGGCGTCTGATTGGTTGGTACGCCTGCCAAAGCCCGCCTCTGAACGTGTCATATGTCAACTTCGCATGAGTTGATAAGCTTTGTAAACACAGAGTACACCGAAATAAGTTGTCTGGCTTTTAATATCTGAATATAAACACAATATTTACAATGCATACAATGATCATTAGTTATCAACAAAGAGGAAATGTACTGCCTTGTCTCAGAACAACACGCATCACCCAAACATTAAAAATAAATATCCTCAAAGTTGTATTCCCTGGGAGCTGTAAAACATGAGACCCACAGCATGAATGATTCCTTTGTATTCAAATATTGTGTGATGAGGCCCCGTGACATTACTGCAGTGTTAATGACACAGACCAACTCTCTGCGGACACGCCGGTGCTTGTAACAGAAGTAACAAGCTATATCCAAAGCTCACTCACACACCGATTAGGCACACCGCGCTTTCTCCATCACATTTTAAGCATGTCCAAGCATTCACAGCAGACAGCTTCTGGCACGGCTGTCCCTCAGTCCATGTACGACGTCGTGTCCATGTCGTCCACTTCCGGGTGAAGCAGTCTGCCGGCCAAGCGCTCAATGTCGTCCAGACTAAGTTGTCGGAGTGAACGCTCGTAATCCTTCGAAAAAGGGAAATGAAATAGTTGTAACACGTCTTCTTACATGGTCAACGGACTAAATAAACGGTATGATCAAAGGATTATGTCTTATTGTTTCATTGTTATTTCATGTTAAATGTTCTGTAAAGCGCTTTGTTAAAGCTGCAGCTGTTGTGAAAGTGCGATATAAGCAAAGATGTATTGGATCGTATAATAAGGAGACAAACACTTTTTTTGTTGGACTTTTGTTCTGTATCCAAATACAGTGGTACCTTGACTTAGACAGTTTTACTCTACATATTTTTACAAAAGTGCAGCCTATTTTTTGTCATACGACACAGACGTTTGGTTTTATATATGTAAGCCGATTGAACTGCTGTTAAATTCCCATGTCCTAAACTTAACAGATACAGTACCTTAATCAGCTGTTCATGGACTTTGGCAGCATCTGCGGGACTGAAGTGTTTTGCGAGGATAGTGGACACAGTCTGCCACACTCCCGCTTGTGTTATGCTGCCGTTGCTGCTGCACGTGGCCGTCGTCCCTGAAGCCCCGGTCCTTTCGCCCGCTGGACGGATGACCAGGTTTAATTTGGCTTCTGGCCCAATGGAGTAGTCACTTAGTTTGTGTTCATCTAAAGGTACAAGTGATGGTAACAATCACACACAAGGAATTTTCATTTTGGATGAATAATGTACTTAATATCCATCTGCAGTGGATTAAAAAGTAAAAAAAAAATTGAGTTGGGTTGATGGAGCAGGCACCATGGTTAACAAAAAGGTACCTGCAAGCGCTTTGCCTTTATAAAGCAACCGCTGCTGATTGGCTGGGATGTTGAGACGTTCCGAGACGAGCTCTTTCACTGTGGAAACTTTTTCATCTTCAGTCACCTGGAAGATTACACACAACATGGTCAAAGAACTACAGGCTGAGGTATAAGTTAAACAGCGGTGGGACGTGACGATGTACAAATGCTTCGTTACTGTCCATAAGTACATTTTTTTCCAGGTATCTTTACTTGAGTATTTATTTTCCTCATGAATTTTTTTATTCTCTAAATTTGAATTTTTAAACCACAGTATTCAACAGTACTCTGCTTTATTTACACTGCAGTAAAATGGTTCAATCGGTCATTCTAATTCACCAAATTTGTTTTTGTTTACACAAGTATCTGTACTTCTACTTAAGCAGACTGAATACTTTTGGTGCATCTGAATTTAAGCAATAGTCTCCTTTTAACTTATCCCTATTTAGGCATATGCCACAGCAAACCATTCTCTTCACCTTCTGCTGTTACTCCAGCTACCTGCAAGTCTTTTCTGGCCACAACCATAAATGAAATCTTTGGTCTTTCCCACCCTACCCGGTGAGTCCATTTTCAGCATCCTCCCTCACGACGGATCCACTGTCCCTACTGTGAACATGGCCGGTTATACTAATTCACCAAATTTGTTTTTGTTTACACAAGTATCTGTACTTCTACTTAAGCAGACTGTGAATACTTTTGTTGGCTCTGAATTTAAGCAATAGTCTCCTTTTAATTTAACCCTATTCAGGCATATGCCACAGCAAACCATTCTCTCTACCTTCTGCTGTTACTCCAGCTACCTGCAAGTCTTTTCTGGCCACAACCATAAATGAAATCTTTGGTCTTTCTCACCCTACCCGGTGAGTCCATTTTCAGCATCCTCCCTCACGACGGATCCACTGTCCCTACTGTGAACATGGCCTCTACCTTTGTACCCTCTGATGAGATCAGTCCTGCTCTTGTCTGTTCTTCATCACTCCCAAATAGAATCTCATCACGTTCAAGCTGCCGCCTGTCTTCTCTCCATTGTTACCACACAAGTTCAATCCTGCAGCCATTATTACCACTATAAATACAATGAAGACACTATCAGTCATACCTGGACCCTGTTTAAATTCTATCAGCACTGTATTGTTTTTAGTTAAGTACAACATGACAAGCAGAGGAAAGGAGGAAGCACAAATACCAGTGAGAACTCATAGTACTAGCTCCTATTTTACTTCCCTGCCCTGCAATTTACTGATTATTATTATAATTATAATAATAACAATTATTATTATTATTAGTAGTAGCAGAACCTGCTTAGCCAAACATCAAGTTAATACATACAAAAACAAATAAGTTGCCGCGAGAGTGGTACATTGACCGACCTAAGCACATGATTAGGCACTAACGTTAGTCTGCGTCTTTGTCTGGCTGCTGTTAGCAAGCCGCGATTGACTGCCCAGATTTATGACGCGCCACCCCTTCACTGGTGCGACAATTGATGAAAATTAGCACTAGCTACTATTTTACTGCCCTCCGACACCAATTTATTGATTATTATAATAATAATTATTATTATTATTAGCAGAACCTGCTTAGCCAGACATCACGTTAATACATATAAAAACAAATAAATTGCCGCTATGTAAGAGAGTAGTACATTGACCGACCTAAGCACATGATTAGGCACTAACGTTAGTCTGCGTCTTTGTCTGGCTGTTGTTAGCAAGCCACGATTGACTGCCCATATTTATGACTCGCCACCCCTTCACTGGTGCGACAATTGATGAAAATAAGAAAGCATAACTCTTTACCAATCAAATGATGGTTAACGTTGTCAAAAGTGGCCCAACATATGACAGGGACCATGCTAAGCG